AACAGGACTCACCCTTAAGCATTCATGATCAGGGATCAGGGAGATGGCTCAGTGGGTAATGGTGCCTGCCGTGCAAGCCTGAAGATCCAAGATGGACCCACAGACTCATATGAAGATGGAAGGAAAACAGTGACTCCATAAAGTCCTCCTCTGAGACCCCCAGACTCGCTGTGGCACAGATAACACCCTCCAGACTTCATCACCAAAAGTATGTTAAATCCAGCCACACTGGATAGCTATACTAATGACAGCAAACCATCCACCTTTCTACTGGTTGTCTACCTGAGGCATTCATTCCTGTGACACTCTTCTTTTTAACTATTTATCCTTTTAGAATACTTTTTAAAGTAAAATATTTTAAAGATATTTTTAAATGAATAAAATAGTAATTCAGTACATTTACAAGTTTTTAATTAAAATTTTAATACATACTATCTGGGCAGCAAAGTGGCTCGGTGAGTAAAGATATTTACTATTCAAGCCAGACCACCTGAGTTCAATCCTCAGACCCCAAGTGTATTAGTTAGACAGAGTTAGCTGTCAACTTAAAAGACTCTAGACCAGGGAGATAAACCTCTGAGCATCCTAAGGGAGATTGTCTTCATTACATTGCTTAAGGTGAAAAGACTGTCCACTGTGGGTGGCATCATTCCCTCCTTAGGACCCTGGATTGTAAATGAAGAATGGAAGCTGAACAGAAGTGAGCATTCATCACTCTCTGCTTCTTAAGTATGGTATCATGTGACCAGCTGCTTCAAGCTCCTCCCGACTTGTTTGCCCTGATGGCGCTAGGATATGCCTCATTCCATGATAGAACAGGATATACCCTTATTCCATGATGGGGTTAGAATATGCCCTTATTCTCTTAAGTTGCTTTTGTTAGAGTATTCCATCACACCAATAGAAAAGCAAAACACCATATAAAGGTAGAAGACTTATTCTACAAGGTTGTCCACTAATATTCACACAAGCCACAGAATCTGTGTGCCTAGTCATACCCCTACACACACACACACACACACACGACAGTAAATTATTATGACATAAAAATCTTAATTTATACCAGTTGAGGATACCCCTAACTTAGATCCTTTCTCAAAACCATGTTAAAATAACCATTCTACCAGCAATAACACCCAAGCAGTGACTGTACTGTGGCTGGCACAGCTGCCAGGTTACTGAAAACGTATTCCACACAAGCATATATTCACTTTCCAGTCCTAACTGTAGTCTGGAGTCAAGTATATCTTCACACTGACAGGTACTTTCTATGCACAGTGGTATTTCATCAGGTAATCTAGCAAACTTAGATGCTTCTGGCAGGACAGGAATGACAACTGTGCTCTCCTGACACCTTTTCAAACTGTCCATTCCCGTTTGAGAACAGAGTATTTCAGAGCCTTGGTCAGCTCAGCCTAAGGACTGATGGGTTGCTTCCTTACACACAACTCCTTGTAAGTCCCTACAATACAGGATACTTGGAGGTCACGATGGCATGGGTAACTCAGAGGGAAAGTTAGGTCTAGAGGGAAAGATGCCTTCCAAAGTAGAACTCACTCATACTAATGCAATAAGTATTTTCTTCTTCTTTTTTTTTTTTTAAAGATTTATTTATTTCATGTATGTAAGTACACTGTTGCTGTCTTCAGAGACACCAGAAGAGGGCATCAGATCTCATTATAGACGGTTGTGAGCCACCATGTGGTTGCTGGGAATTGAACTCAGGACCTCTGGAAGAACAGACGGTGCTCTTAACCACTGAGCCATCTCTCTAGCCCAACAATAAGTATTTTCAACCCACCATGAACTACAAACCAGAGCATCCACAGAAGCAATGGAGAGAGGGCATTTAGTGCTAGAAACAAGCAATGGTTGCTACTAAAACATTCAAGAAAAATAAATCATTTGGTATTAGGGGACCGAGAAAGAATTTCTAGATGAGGTGCTGTCTAAGCTGGCACGTAAAGGATAAGAAGCCAGCTACCAGGGAAGTGTGGTCTCTCACACAACCAGGGAAGTGTGGTCTCTCACACTACCAGGGAAGTGTGGTCTCTCACACTACCAGGGAAGTGTGGTCTCTCACACTACCAGGGAAGTGTGGTCTCTCACACTACCAGAGTGGAGAGTCCCAGAAGTAACTGGACAGTGTTTGTAACACTGAAAGGACATCCCTTGCCCAGGTGCAAATTACAAAGACATGGTTGCAGGGGTGCCCAAGGAACAGACCCAGGAAGGCACAAAGACACGGCTCTCTCAAGAGAGAGAAACTGTCTTAGGAAAGGATGAGGCATGGTCAAATCTATCCTTTAGAAAATGTTCTCAAGGGGAAAAACAAAGAAAACATTCTCTGTTGCCAAGGACAATAATATACAAGAACTCAGAGCTGCCTAGATGAAGCTAGATACAGCCCACAAGGAACTCTTATTTTATCTAAAGAGATAATGTACTAAAGCAAATGCAATAAAAGTGCTGCCTTACCTTGGGATCCCTGTAATGGGTAAAGAATTTATAGCACTTCAGTGGTCAAAAGGAAACACATTAGCTTTATAAGTGGTTCAAATAAACACTATAAATAAATGAGGTAGATTAATAAATGTGACTACTACTCCACATAATAACTTCTTCAAGGTCCAGTATAAACTAGTATCTAGTCACTCCTGCACATCTTTACAGTTTCCCAAGGACAAAGCAAGATAAAGGTTAAAGCTCTAAGATGATGGTTTTTTTTTCTTTAAAAATATTATCTCTTTGAACCCACATATCAATTTTAGTATCATCAAAAGTGAGACAAGCTATATTCCTCATGATGTGATATAAAATAAAAGTACAGGGGCTAGAGAGATGGCTCAGCGGATAAGAGCACTGACTGCTCTTTTGAGAGGTCCTGGGTTCAATTCCTAGCAACTACATGGCAGCTCACAACTACCTGTAACTCCTGTTCCAGAGGACTCAACATTCTAATACAGATATACATGCAGTCAAAACACCAATGTACATAAAATAAAAAAAAATTATTTTTTAAAATAACAGTACTTAGGACATATTTTTATCTAAAGACTTCAACCTGAGGCTCAGGAGATGGCTCAGCAGATAAAGCACTTGACAGGAAAGCACCAGGACCTGAGTCTGGAACCCCAGAACCCATGCAAAGCTCCTCCTAGGAGTGCATATCCCAGCACTCCCACAGTGAGCTGGGACAGAGGCAGAGACAGATGATCTGGAAACTCATGGATCAGCTAGCTCAGAGGATGCAGCAGTGGACAACAGACTCTGTCTCCAACAAGGTAGAAGGAGAGTACCTACACACAAGGTTGTCCTCTGACCTCTACATCAGAGCTGTGGCACCTACATATCCAGACATATACAAAACACACGGACACACACACACAGATTCCAAACCCAGTAATGTTAGAGATAGCCTATCAGTCAAACAATGCCATTTTCACAATAACCCAATAGCACATTCAAAATAAAAATTCAGAGACTCCTGCCATGGATTCTTTCTGGATCCCAAACAATCAGAAAATGTGAACACAGCCTAACAGAGTATCCAGAAATACAGTAATATGTAATATAAAAAGTAATTCTGCTTATTAAGTAGTTCTATGGGTATGTGCACATGCACGTGTGTGTCCATATGACACGTCCATGAATATCACAATCAAAGATAACTTGTCTGTTCTCTCCTACTGTGTGGGTCCTGGGGACTGAACTCAGGTTACCAGACATAGCGGCAAGTGCTTTTACCTGTTGAACCATCTCACTGGCCCTTTTAGGTAGTTTTAAAAACAATTCTTACCAGTTATAAATGTATATTTATTATTCTATAAAGAGAAAGCAAGGGCTAAAGAGATGGCTCAACAGTTACAGCACTGGGTGCTCTCACAGGACCTAGGTTCAATTCCCAGCACCCAGGGCTCACAGCTGGCTGTAGCTCTTAAGTCCTCTGTGAACACTGCATGCACATGGTGTGCATGCTCATACACACTCATACACTTAAAGTAAAAATAAATAAATCATAAAAGAGAGAGTGTATAATCATCTGTTGAGTGATTTCAGGCGTCGGACTGCAGAGCTTTGTAAGGCATGAAGCTCATCCTTGTACTACAAACTCTAGGTGATTCACAAAGCCACCAGGAACACTCTCGGGGCAGGAAAGCCAGGCAACAGGGGAGCCGGCCAGGAGCAAGAGTGAGGTCAAGGCATATCCGTGCCCTGAAAATCTCATCATAAGACCAGCAGGAGTCAGGACTGCTCGGTCCCTGCTCTGAGCCTGCAGGTCTCAGAGCATGTAGTCTGTATGACCCCCACTTTTGCCACCCTTGAGGTAGTCTCGAAGCCTCGTGGCCAAGTTACACAGGTTTAATTAACTTCCTCTCTCCCTGTAAGGACACGTCCAGCAAGCACCTGGAATTCCTCTTCATGCAAATAAGGCCTTCCCAGGACCTTAGCAATAGCCAATAATATACATTTACCCCAAACCCCCTACCCACTCCTCAAGGTTTATACAGCCCTTGTTAACCCCATTAAAAAGAGAGCTGTTTCACTGGAACCATCTCGGAGAAGGCTGTTTCTCCCCGGTACTCACTGTCAGACCAAAGTTCTGTGGAACCCACCTGCCCAGCCTGGTGTGCAACGGCACCTGGGTACCCAGAGGGTAGAAGCAGAACTAGGCTGGCAGCATGCAGCATCACTGCTGCCTCTGCACCTCCTCTCTTCCTTGCTGATCACAGAGCACTTAGATGAGCCTTAGCCTCATCGGCAGCATGCTCAGCTATCAACAGACATGATCAACAAGGTACTACTCTTGAGTGTACAAGGGAAGGCAGGTAGGACAGGGAGGGTTTGGGAATGCCCATTCCACAGGTAAAGCAAGTGAGGCACACAGCCATCGAGGTCACACTAATCCTGACTACTGACAGAGACTGAATGGCAGAGGGTCACCAGCACCTGCCGGTGTCCCCTCCTGGTGCCGGAGCATGGATGTCACTGTCACTGACCTTCCCATGCTCCTTCCTCATGTGGGACAGATACACATCCCTCTGTGTGAACAGACGGTCACACTCCCAACACGTCCACCCGAGACTGGACATCTTCTTAGAGTCTGTGGATTTCTTTGCAGGAGATGGAGACTTCTTTTCCAATTTCTCTTTCCCATTCATGGACTTGGCGTCCTCTCTGCTGTGGTTTGCTGAATTCTGAGTTGCAGGCTTAATGCTCAAAGGCAAGTTTATACCCAAGTTTGGAGGCCCTTCAATACTTTTCAATGTTCCATGCATAGACTGCATAGTAAAAAGAAAAGAAACGCCTATCACAAATCATACCGTTTCAACAGAATTTGACAATCATTCAGAGAAGTATTTCCTAAACTAAAAATATACATTATTAAAAACATGAAGGAGAAATCAGACAGGGTGTTGCACACCTGTAACCCAAGCACTCAGGAGACAGAGGCAGAAACAAATCTACACAGCAAGTTTCAGGCCAGCATGGGCCACACAGTGACCCTCTTGTCACAAAAAAATTTAAATAAATCAAGATGAATGAAACACAGTGGAGCCAAGCATGGTAGAGGCAGGAGGTAGAGGGAGGCAGGTGGCTATGAATTTGAGACCAGTCTGGTCTATGTAGCAAGTTCTATGCAAGCTAGGGTGATAAACTGAGACTGTCTCATTAAAAAAAAGGGGGGTGCTGGATAAAGGAGCATTAACTTTTTTATCTTGTGGAGGGCTCAAATGTTATGGTACATGTGTGACGTTCAGAGAGTATCTTGCAGGGGTCGATTCTCTCCTTCTGCCATGCAGCTCCTAGGCACGAGACCCAGGCCATTAGGATGGCAGCAAGTACCTTTACCCAGCGAGTGACCTCACTAGCCCCATAAAGAAGCATAATAATACATAGCTTTAGTGACTGCTCTAAGCTATGTGTTTTAGTTCCATTTTTCAACATTAACCTATTTTGTGTGCATGTATTCTGTTCATATGTGTGTGGACGCACACACGCCACGGTGCATGTGTGCATGTATTCTGTTCATATGTGTGTGGACGCACACA